GTCCTTGCTGGCAGGGACCAGAGCAGGACATACCCCCTTCCATTTGTCCTCCCCCACCATCCCCCACACCCAGTCTGCCCACTTCTTTTAGAGGCCCAGAGAGGGGAAGGGACTCCCCAGGGGCACCCAGTGCATTATTTGGTCCCTGCTTTTGAGCGAGGATAATCTTGTGTTCCTCTTACCCGACTGCACGCCTCAGTTTAATGGACCTTCATGAGGCTCTGTTTCTGATTCCCTGCGGGGCTCTCTTTTGGAAAAATGGGAGGGAAATAATCCGTCCTTCATGCCCCTTCCCAGAAAGACTCAGCCTTCCTGAGTCTCATGCAGAATCTGTACAACTAGCAGATCGTTCAAAGACTATGATGCCTTGAAAACACTGTGCTAAGTGAGATAAACCAGACACGAAAGGATAAATACTGCATGACTCCGCTTACATGAGGTCCGTAGAATAGGCAAATTCATGGAGACAGAAAGTAAAATAAAGGTTACTGGGGGCCGAGGTGGGAGGAACGGGGAATTATTGTTTAATAGGCACGGAGTTTCCGTTTGGGATGGTGGAAAAGTTCTGGAAACAGATAGTGGTGATGGCGGCACAACACTCTGAATGGATTTAACACCACTGAATTGTACACTTAAAAATGGTTAAAGTGGTAACATTTATGTTCTGTGTGTTTTACCCAATAAAAAAATTTATTTCAAAAAAGAAAAAGACTTTGATACCAAAAAGGATTTTTCCCACCCACCACACTACCTGTCCCAAATTTCTGACCCAGTTGTTTCGTCCTTCACTCTAATTTATTTTGGGGTTGTTTGCCACTGAGTTACTAATTCATTGTAAATGATAATGCACCTGTGAGATAAAAATGATTATATGTTAAGGAATAGCGTTTATGCATAATTGTGTTTCATTGCTTCTTTGCTTTCTCCAAATGGAATAAATAAATATTTTAGACATCATCAAGTTTGTTTTCTCTGTTTGGGCCAAACAGATAGGAATGTTGAAACGATATAGGTCTTTAAAATACTGCAAAGGAGTCTTGATGTCTCCGAATTGTTATGCATCCAAGGTACATAGACTTGAAGTGCAGGTGCTCTCCTTTGATCAGGAAAATCATTTTTGTAATACTTGAATTTTGAGTCCTGTGGGGTTAGAGCAGGGACCAGCAGGGAGAATGTCAGAGTCAGAATTTGAAAGGATGCAGTGAGCCCTGCCTACATCCTTCCCAATGCTACAGTCGCATCTTAATTGCTGTCTCCTAGTGGTGGCAGAGAGGGAGATGGGGCAACAGTGAGCCCTGAGTGGCACTGGGCCTGGAGTTCAGGCAGTGGTTTGCACAGCGGGCCAGGAAGGAGTGGGTTGCAGCAGAAAGTCAGCTTCTGTGGTGGTGAACTCAACCTGTGGCCCCCGTGGTGACTTGACTTACCCTAGTGGCTATTCCAGGATCGAGTACCTGTGCTCAGCAACAAGATGGCTTTAATCCAGCTGCCCTTTTGGCTCATGGAGCGGGGCCCTTGACTGGCACTGACTTGATGCTCTTTCCCGATGGCTCGCATGGGTTTGACTTACTTGTCCACGCTCTCCTGCCTTCTGTCCGAAGCTCGGCCTGGCTGGAGGAGACCGAGTGTGACACCCAAGGTGGGGGCGGCTGAAACCTGTAACCTTGCTTTATCCACTTCCAGTGGCTGCCATGACAAATTACCACAAATTAGGTGGCTTTTAAGCGGAAATTTATTCTCTCACTGCTCTGGAGGTCAGAAGTCTGAAATCAAATTGTTGGCAGGGCCACACTCCCTCCCAAGGCTCTAGGGGACAATCTTTCCTCACCCCCTCCAGCTTCTGGTGGCTCCAGGCATCCCTCGTCTTGTGGCTGCATCACTGCAGTCTCTGCCACCGGCTTCACATGAACTTCTCTCCCTCTCTGCCTTCTGTGTGTCAAATCTCCCTCTCCTTTCTAAGAAAATGAGGCCCACCCTAATTCTTGAGATGCTTAACTTAGTTATATTTGCAAAAATGCTTTTTCCAAATAAGGTCATATTCATAGGTTCCAGGGGTTAGGACGGGGACTTACGTCTTCAACCCGTTACAATCGTGCTATTTAGCAGTGAGGTTCCTTCTAAGAACCAGCCTGTCCTGGCTTGTTTAGGGATTTACATCTTGCCTGGGTTTGGGTTCAGGCCTGAGGGGCCACCTTCAGAGAAGAATGAGATCCAGAGTGACCCACAGGCTGGAAGGGAGGGTCGTGAGGGAGGGGTGAGGTCTGTACAGGGAGGGGAGATGCTCTCCTTGGGTGGGAGTTTCTCATGCCTTTTAGGGAGCAAATTGCTTAAGAAGAGGGACATTGATCTCTGCATCCTCCACCATGCCCAGCACTGGGTGGGAGCCAGTAAATGCAGAAGGAAGGGCTGAATCAGTCTTGAGGGGAGGCAGTGACACAGACAGATTAGCAAGATGCTCAGACCCTCAAAGAGGAGAAATGGCTCGTTCAGTCATTCAGTCAGCCACCGGCCACTCAGCACTTTTCTGTGTGTTAGGGGCCCTGTGCATCCCAGGGACCCAGAGTGAATGAGGCCCAGCCCCGCCCTTGTCCTTGAAGCCAGTGCTAGCGGATGACCGTGTCCTCTGCTGTGCCAAGCGCCCCTCCCCTGAGGACCTTTGGAAGGGCCCTGCATCTTAATCCCTTCTCCAAAGGCCCACTAGGATCTGGGCTCTAGGAGGTGAGCGGGAAGGAGGGACTCACCCAAAACGATACAGGCCCTCCTCTTTGTGCCGTAGGGGTCCCTGCCTGGGTGAGAGGTTTAGCTGATGGTGTTCAGGCCCCTTTGGAGGGAGTATGAGGAGCCAACACACCAAAGCCCACAGGGAAATCATTTAGAGACTGCGTCTGGGTGTGGCTGTCATCCAGTTCTGCACATAATAGATGGAACCAAGAGCCAAAGAGAAGGAGACGCTCAAACAGAGGGACCCCGGGGCCAGGGTTGTAGCGCTCTCTTCAGGGACCTGGCTTTGAGGGCAGTGAATAAACCTGGTGAAAGATGTGTTGTTGGGCCTCATTTCAAACAAAATGTCCTTGTGTCCAGCCTCTCCAAGATGATGCTGGGAGAAACTTGCCAACTTGGAGCCCCTGCAGCAAATGCTTGTGTCCCCCTGATGGTGTGTCTGAGCTTCAGCCTTGCGTGTCTGTGGTGGGCTGGGCTGTGTAGACTGGGAACATTGGCCTGGTATTTAGTGCGTGGCAATAAATTACATGTCATAATAAGGAACATGATTGCCATTTCTACCCTCTGTTGTACTAGGAGTTGTGTGAGAGCAGGGAGTGGCCTTTTTCATTCTTTTCTGGAGGAATCTTCTAGACCCTGTGGGAGCTGTGATGTGGGAGCTCAGCGTATCAGCCTCCTGTTCTCTGTGTTCCTTAGAAGACGGTGGTGTTGGGGTTGGAGTTGGAGAAACAGAAGGGACTTAGATTCCCTTTCCACCTTGGGTTGCTGGGACCCAAAGTAGACACAGAAGCTTGAAAAGGGAGCATCTGTATTTTTTCTCATTGACAGGAAACACTAATAATCATAATACGAAAACAGCCGTTGTGATTTTCGTGTTCCTGGTTGGTGTGTCCATGTTTGTGTTGAGCCAGGGTCATATCCTTGGCAAGGAGAGTGTCTTGGTCAGTTCAAGCTGCTGTTACAAAGTACCGTCGGCTGTGTGGCTTTTTGATGAAGGCCCTTTTCCTGGTATGACAGCCGTGGCATTGTAGCCTCACATAGCAGAGAGAGAAAAAGCAAGCGCTCTTATGTCTTTTCCTAAGGGCATTAATCCCATTCCTGAGGCCTCCACCCTCCTGACCTAAAAGCCTGCCTAAGGCCCCACCTCCCAACACCATCACAGTAGGGGTTAGGATTCAACACATGAATCTGGGGGGACACAGACGTTCCGTCCGTAGCAGAGAGCCTTGCAAATCCAGATTTGGGTTGTGACCCAAGGTGTGAAACCTGGCGTCCAGTTTCACCACCTTAATTTGCAGGTGTAAAGTGTGAGCCTCAGAGAGCGGAGGGGGCTTCCCAGGATGACGCATAAGCTCGATGCAGAGTCAGAACTGGAACCCAGGTCTGCTGCCTCCCCGTCGGGGTGTCTGCACCCGCGGCATCTGTTCCCTCGTGGTGTTAGTACTGGCATCGCAGCCACGTTTCATCCGAGGTGGACTGCCGCCCTGTGAGTGGGTCCATGTGTTAAGGCAGTGCTTACCTAGTGGGGTCACAGATGGGACAGTATGCTGGAAACCCTGTCGGGGGCCGAGGAGAAGAAAGAGAGAGGCAGGAGGGTAACAAGAGGAACTCAGGATGCTGAGCAGCGGTTGCCTGCCAGAATTCTTCAGGGCGGCTTGTCTAGCAAAGCCAGTCTCCAGCCTAGTAAATACAGTGGATAGCTGACGGGCTGACAGCAGGCATCAAACGGTCTTAAACTGCCCCAAATCCACAGCGCTTTTGAAGCGGCAGTAGAGAAAGGATGCCTGCTCAGAACAGAGGCCCGAAACTTTTAATAGTTTCTTCCAGGCCTCAGGATGTCCTGATGAGGTATTAGAGGAAGTAATTCAGGAAGAAAAGGACAAATAACCGCCTCCATCTGGAGGCCGACCTGAGGGCTGGCCATTCTAGCGCGGAAAGGGCAAGCCAGCCCCGCTGCGGTCCCCACCGCTCTGGGGAGCCCACCCACCTGCCTCGCACTGGGGGCCTGGGGCTCTGACCCTCGTAAATAACAGAGGAGTAAATTTCTTGTTTGCTTCAGGGCAGATGAAAACCACACAGCGCCGCAGCATGTGGGTGAAATCATTGACTTTTCCTCACTGTTGGAAGGGTTCTCTGGACAAATTAGAAACCATTTCCTCAACCTAGAGGCCCTTCCTGGGCATCCGTCCCCCATCCTCAGACCAGGAGCCAGAGAAAAACACGTGGGCCGGCCAGAACCAAACTCACCCTGCTCTCTGTTTTTTTCCCCCCTTTTCCCTTAGGGTTTGGCTTTGTCACATTTGAGAATGAAGACGTTGTGGAGAAAGTCTGTGAGATTCATTTCCATGAAATCAATAATAAAATGGTAAGTCTGGAGGGGTTGCACTGAAAGGCGATGCCCCCCCTTGCTCCATATACACGCCTTTGTCTTGCAGGCCCAGCCATCATGCTGGAAGGGTGGGCATGGGGAGTAGACTTGAGGGTTCAGCCCTGTGGAACACAGGAGCTGACAGACTTTGTCAGGAAAGGGCCAAATGGTAAATACTTTCAGCTGTGCAGGCCATGCAACGGACTGTAGCAAGTCCTCCACTTTGCTGTTGTAAAGCAAAAGCATCCACAGACGATACATACGTGAATGAGTGGGGCTGTGCTTCAATAAAGCTCTGTTTACAGACACTGAAATTGAAATCTCATGTGATTTTCACGTGTCGCAAAATATTTTATGTCTAACATTTAAAAGTGTAAAAACCCTGCTTAACTCTTGGGCCATACAGAAGCCAGCAGGGGGACCAGATCTGGCCTGTGGGTTGCAGTTTGCTGACCTCTGGCTTCGGATGTGTGTTTGCTGTTTGGCTTGGCTTTTTGAGGGGGTAGAAAGTTGCCCGCCCAAACTGTTTCTCTCTTTGGGCCCTGCTGGCCCTTCTAATCAGCTAGACGGTTTTACCCTCATGATCAGCTGCTTCCGTCTCCCTTTGGCTCTTGAAAGCTCCTTTTCCTAGCAGGGCACCCTCAACAGAGAGGGAGGTTGGGTCATTGGAAGTTTGGGGAGCCAGGCAGGCCTCCCAGAGAGATGGCCACCAGAGGGCACCACACCATGTGCAGAAGGTGCCCACTGGCTGGCCTGAAGTCTCAAACTCCTTTCTCAAATTGAGTAGGTGGGTGAGAAACCCCTTCCTTCTTGGTTCCAGAAATGTGGGAGCTCAGCAGGTGTTTCTGGAGCCAAAACATTTTACTTGGCCGCAAAGCCTCTGGCCCTGAGAAGAGAGGGAGGGCAAATTGGGGTTTCAAGCACAGCTGTAACTTTGATATTTTCTTCCTTTAGTCAAAACATTCCTTGCTTCTGAAACATGCATTCAGATGCGCACTGTATATTGGCCTGATACGTGTTCACCGACTTTAAATTCAATAATAGAGCTTTTAGTGTGGATAAGATCAAAGCAGTCTGCTTAGCATGTGGTGCTACGGGCCTGATTCAATATTTGACTTGCTAATTTTTTCCCAGGGCACTAAAATAATATTGTTCGTATTGTTCCTAGCCATCATATGCATCTGAAATGAAAATCTGTTTCTTTGCAGACTGCGGGTTGCAGGCGTCAGCTCAGGCGTTAAAATGGTGCAGGGGAGATGCGTGTAGGAATAGCGCAGGTCCCCTCATAGGCTTTGTCCACCCCCCAAAGTCGGCGCCTTCCAAGTGGTACTTCTCTCTTTCGGTAGGTTACTACTTGCTATTTTTAAAACTAGAGAGACAGGAGGCTTAAAAGGAAACCTGCATCCAGTGGGACGCCTTGTGTATCCTACCTGGCACGCTATTGACGCACTCGGCTGAGGGCTGCCTGGGCAGCGGGGAGTGGAAGAGGCAGCTGAGAGTGCTGGCAGACACTGTTTCTGTCCTACCAGGAATTAATGGTTCATCGGGAAGGTCCCATGGGGACTGGCAAGAGACCACGCCGTGTGCTGCCTCGAATGCATGTGTGGGACCCTCCGCTATTGACTGGCTTTGAAATGAACCTGAGACACAAGGGGGAAGGGGCTTTATTCTCCTCGCTGTTCCAGTGCGTAAACTGAGGCCCCGGGGATATGCCCTAGGGCTACACAGATAGTGAAGGAGCACAGGTCTTGAGCTTATTGGCTGCCAGATTATTTATACAGACGTTTATTGAATTTAGGGATGGGAGGGTGTAATCAGAAGGTAGAGTTTCGGCCCCAGAAAGATAACCCGTGGGCTGGCCTGAAGCCAGAGAGGTTTGTAGCCCTTGTCCCCAGTCACTTCACATTTGTCACCTTCTTTTCCACCCAGTGGAGGCTGACTATGGCAAGTGCGGGTAACTGTGATCATGGTGTGAGGGCTTCTGCTTTCTTTTGAATCTGAGGATGGTACTTGTTCTTTAAGAGAATAAGCAAAAACAGAAGTAGACAAGAGGAAGGGGTGGGGGCCGAGTGGGTAGGATCACAGGCTTTGGTGGCGTCACTGCAGGTGCCCAGCCCAGCCCCACCAGTTAGGAGCCCTAAGGGGGAATTGAGAGGTATTGGGAGAGGGCGTTGGCAGGTCACCGGGCCTCACAGAGCTCCAGTGTAACTGGCCTGTGATGACCGCCTCATGGGGTCGCTGGGCCTGGGGAGATGCCATGAGCAGAGGCTGCGCGTGGAGTCGTGCAGGGCCGGGCTTGATAAACATGAGCTCCATTTCATCGTCATCGAAAGGACTTCTCCAGCGAGCACCCCTCCTCAGCAGAAGGGCATTGGTAGAGGAGCCTGAATCCTGAATTGCTGTGGATTCTGTGATGCTGGTTTCTACTTCTGAGGCCCCAAGAAAAGGAAATGAATTTAAGCTGTGCTATGGACAGAATTCAGATGACAGATCGGGAGGGCTCTGAGAACTCAAGAGACGGCCAAGCAGGAGCACGGACGGTTGTGAGGATGTTCTTAGGAGTGTTTTGTAAGCTGGGCTGTGCTGTGAAGCTGTAAGGACCCGTCTCCTGGAACCCTCGCAATCTCTCTGTGAGGTCAGCAGGAGCAGAGAGCTGCTCCCCCGGAATGTGCCCGGAGCTGCCGTGAACTCACATTCACAGATAAGAAAGTTCTGAGCGCTGGGTAGTCAGAAAGACAGGACTTGAATCCAGGTCTTCTGATTCTTAATCCAGTCGTCCTGTGCGTGCACTCAGTGGGCCCTGTGTGAATAACTGTGGAGTGAATAAAGGATTAGATGAGGGACCACGTGACAGTGAGGCGCCTCATAATTCCCAAAGCCACTTCTCATCTAATTTGGTTGGTGAATCTCCTGGGCATTTAAAAAAGGACGGCCCTTCTCTGCTGTCCTGGAGAGCCAGCCGCAGACTCAAGTGCTCTGCTGCCCTCGGGAGGCTGGGATCCCAGGAACTCTGCCCCCCTCCCCCATATAGACTCTGCCTTAAGGAGGTCGCCTCCATGGTGGTGGTGGCAGGGGGGTGGCCAAGAAGACCCCACTTGTGCTCCCACACAGAGACCACGCAGATAATGTTTTTGAGTGCTAGCTACCTACTATGCCAAGCACTTCCTTTATGCATCTCTTCTCATTTGATTATCACACACACTCTGGGGTAGGTACTCATTATCCCCATTTTACAGATAAGCAGGGTAAGGCAGAGAGAGAAGTTAAGCAGCATGCCCAGGGCCACATGGTCAGCAAGTGGCAGCACCAGATTTGAGCCCAGAAAGCTAACATCCAGAGCTCACATTGTCCTCAGTAGGCTATGCCTCCTCTCCAGGCTGAAAGGGACTTTAAAGCCTTTCTGGCTGGGCTACAGCCTTCTAAGGCCCCTGACTGCCCCCTCCCAGGTGGCCATTGTGGCCCATGTGGTTCTGTGTTCCCCTCAGAGAAGGGCGGAGGAGATAGGCAGCTTCCCAGCTGGGGGAGGGGCCAGCTTGGGCCTGAGGGGTCCCTGTCACCACAACAAATCTCCAGGCCTCTTCCTCCACTGCCCCAGAGGCAGGTGAGTGAGGGACGTGGCAGGCAGCTGGCCGCTACCCAAGCTCAGAGCCCACCCTACGAGAGCCAAGACTCAGCCCCTTCTTCCGTCCTGGCCCGGGTCAGAGTAAAGCGGCAGACGGGGCTCCTTATCAGTAAACACACACATGCAGAGCAGAGCCGCCTGGGGACCCTCCCAAGAGGGCTCCTCTCTGGCCACGCTGTGAGCCCCGGCGTGGGTGCAGCTAATAGGGCCTCCTGCCGTGGGCCCCTGATTGAAGCGGCTGGAGCAGCAGGGACACTCGCTTGCTTAGTCGCCAGTGTGGCCTCCCGGCGAGCAAGGCAGCCACAGGGAGGGAGGGCAGGACCTGACAAAGACCTGCTCTGGGCTTCCTCGGAGGCCTAGCTCAGCCCCCACCCCAAATGGAGCCTCACCGGGGCAGAGCTCGGGGTGCGGCTGGAAAGGTACCTGGGCGAGGGCTCCTCGGGTGGGACACCTTTGCCCTCACCTGATTCAATGGAGGGATATTGGCGTTCACCGGGCACCGTGACAGCGCTTTACATGCATGCAGTCGTTGTCCTGTTTTACAGAGGGGACATTAGAGCTCAGAGCAGTGAAGGGACTTCCACAGTCCACGGTTCTAAGTGACAGAGCTGGGATTTGAACCCGTGTCCTTCTGGGTCCAACCCTGCTGCCAACTTAGGCAGACCTCCTAATCGAAAACCTGGGTTGACTTGACTGGTGAATATGGGGAAGAGTTTTGATTTGCTTCATACAAGGATTACTACAGGATTCCTTTACATAGTCCTTTTCCTTGCTCCTTTAAGGTGATCTGATTTATGAAAATTGCTAACCAGCTTGCAAGCTTGTTAGGAATGCAGAGTCTTGGGCCCCAACCCAGACCCACCAAATGAGAATCTGCATTTTGACAAATCCCCCAATGATGTGTGTGCTCAGTAAAGTCTGAGACGCGGGAATCGCTGCTGATGAGAGAGAATACGGGAGTCGTGGGTCATAAATCGTCCATCCGCTGTCCTCCCAGAAGGGAGGGACCCAGGAGCGAGGGAACTGAGGTCCATTCTAGGAGCTTGGAGCCGGATGAGCCGGCCTGGCACAAGATCTCCAGGCCTGTCTGGGGCTCCAGGCACCTCCCCACACTCCCTTGGTGGTCAGAGACCTGATCTCCTCCTGGAGGAAGCTCTTAGTGCCAGGGCCTCTCCCCGCTCCTGCACTGGTGCACCCTTCCCCTCTGAGCCGTGTCTCGGAGTGTCCACTGTAGATGTGTGAGGCGCATCCACTGGGGTGAAGGGCTGGATCTTTCCATCCAGTGACGTGCATGTGTTCTTGTCCCCAAGTCGGGACCTGCTGGGTCATTTAGAGGCATCCAGGGCTTTGGGACACATGGACCCAAGCCTGAATC